ATTTATAAAGGAAATATTTAGAATAAAGCCAATATATAAACTTCCTTTCCGTATAGACGTATTTACGTCAAATTCTCCGTCGGCTTGTAAATCTTAAAGTCTGTAACGTTTCTCTGCACGTAGCTGATTGAGCACGATGTGTCTGGTTGTAACATAGCACAACATTGCATTGTGTGGCCTAGGAACCGGTTACAAATGACTTACTGTAGTGAATTCTCTATTTAGAGTAGACTTCTGCTCTCGCTGTAACAGTGTTGCGAAACTTCATCGTTGCCGCTCACATTTCAGGATTCGCGTGTGCATTTTAAATCCCGATATTCTACCTTTTGTAAAGGATATTTTTTTAAAATAACGTGCACGAAACATACGAGTTCCGATTAAGGCAGAGTTTGTAATGTCGTCTACTGATTCAAAGTCGCTTCGTATATATGACGTGTCCACATTGTAAAGGCTGTTACTTTTAAGTGTATGCAACCCCTGTTAAGCAGATTACGTGTATAAGTTGTTGTTGAGAAGTACTATCTACAAGTTTTGTCCGTGTTAATGAACTATAAACACCTCAAACACATCTATACTTTATGCAAAAGTAAATTTAACAACTTCGCACACTGTCAACAACTGTATATGGGAATGTTTCATAGAAGTAAAAAAAGGCCCGGGAGTCCGTGGTCTACTGTGAACAGCGAATCCACTGTGTAGTAGGTACATTTCACGCCCTCCGTTATCGTGCTTGGGGCATGGAGCACAGTAGAGTTATTCAACGCGGATGAAGTTTCTGCGGTCAATAAACTGGTTACGGAGAGGAAGTTGATTTATTTTCTTTACACAGTAAGCCTTTGACACACATGTGGCTTCTTTATACCTGTCGAATTCACTGTCTTGTATTTGTTAACCACTATCTAAGTGTATTGTCTATTTGTATACATTCTACGTGTTTTTGAGTTGCTAATTGTACACGTGTGACTGTTTAATTACATATTTTCTTGTCAGTCAGACCTAGCGAATCGATGCCTGAGGTACACGGAAGTGAGAAAACATTTTCCACCAATCGCAGTAGATTTATATGTGGAGTGTTCCGGGAATGCGATAGACACATATATATCAAGAAACTAAACAATTGTTTGGCAAACGAATGAATTGTCGATTACAGAGAATATGCTTAAGCGAAATTACATTTTAACAGATTTCCCCCCAAAAACTTTGTATCAGGTGCAAACGAGAAATGTACGTTTATAACTAATTTAGATATGATTGCATCTGAAGGTATATGTAATCGTACTGTTAAACAATAATATTCGCTGTTTCCGTAATAGAATAATAAACTTTTACGTTAAACATTAAAAAATCGTGACCGTTAAGTCGGAGCAACTGTCATTTCAAAAAAAAAAAAAAAAAAAAAAAGGTGGATTTGTTAGGGTCTAATTCTGCGAAGAGAGGAACTGCAGATGGCTGAATGCGACCATGACGAAGCAGATAACGCTCGTGGTCTTCGGATTTTCGCTCTGTGCTCGGCCTTTTTTTTCATTGTTTGTGATGTGCGTACAGTCTGAACAGACGTGGAAGACCTAATCGTAGGAAGTGGACTGGGTTTATCTGGCTCAGGATAGGGACAATTGGCAGGACTGTTAATAACGCAGGAATGAACTTTAGGTTTCCATAAAAAGTGAGCGACTTGTGTTCCGGGTTGTAACGCCGTGTAATCTGTAGTCTTCTGCCTCAGTGCCGCGAAAATCCGATTATTAGCTTATTTTGTTAAAGAAATACTAAAATATCATTAATTATTACGTATAAGAAAGTTCCTGATTCAATAAAAGTATATAAATCTCCTTGTCATTGAAATATCGCTTGGGGTATGTAGTTCCCTCAGTATTAAAAGGATTATTTATAAGTGTATTATATCCCAGGGCTAAGTTTCGGTGGACATCTCGAACACTTTACCAAATCATTGTTTTTTCTGGTTTCAGATTTCAGTGTAGTTTATTTTATGACAAATAGAACGTGTGTCAGGAATGGGATCGCCCAGAACATCAGCAGGTCGTTAAAGTGATTGAGAGAGAGAGAGAGGCTTGCGAGTTAATTGCATTCGAACTTTTGTTTAGGATGTCAAAAATAAATATTTTAATAACCGTATATTTATTCGTGTTAGCTTTCTCGTTAATAAAATTCGTAAGCTTATCGATACAAGAGCCGATGACAGCTGATTGGTTTAGTTGTCACCAGATGGCAGTAGGTGCCGATGCGCGACTGTCACCCGTCAATATTTTAGATATATACTTCAGGAGGTTTCTGTTTCAAACTCTTTGATTGTGAACTGCTGTTAAAATCGAGAGTTTCGTTCTACTGTGCGACAGAAGTTGTAATTACACGGATAATTTTACAAAACAGTCTTTGCCAGAATCGACCGATTCAAGTCTTTAATTTTTCTGTTGTTAATCCAAACGCCGGGTGATTATTGCAATAACATTTTTTGAACGGAGATTGTCATCAAGAGAAGAGAGTTAGATCAGGCCCTAACCAGCGTAATTAAAAAAAAATAGTTTGCTTTTATAGTAACTTTAGCAGAAGTTACTTGGAAAGCTGTATACCCACCCACAAGCATTGAAAATTATGAATCTTCAGTCTGACGAACTAGTATTAAGTATAAATAAAATTTGTATACTTTTTCTGGTACTGA